AATTGGTTATATAAATTACTTTGCGAATTATTATTTCAGCTGCGATTTTTCCAGTTGTTCAGAAACAACATCAGCTTTTAGTGACACTGCTCTTGTGCAATGCTCTTGCAATGGAGGTAAAGCTTAATTTTTCAAGTCTTTTTTTGCTTTTGATTTGTATAGCTTTGGTACTCTGTTTGGATAATTTAATTGGTTTATGGGAATTTGGCAGGGGCTTCCTATATACTTGGATAAGTTATTCAATGAATACGTTGCGATTATTCTTTCGGTCACTTTTGTTCTAGCTTTTGGTGAGGTATGTGTTATTGTTAGAGTGGTCTTTAGTTTTTCAAATTCTATGTGGTTTATATAAAGGCTTGGACTGATTTGAAAGGAGGAAAATTTCGTCGTTTTTAAGGTTATTCCTCAAGCGATATGCACCAGGTATGGACTGGCAGTTGGAGCGAATTTCGTCTGGCTTGTCCGTATTTTAATGATTCTTTGCTACCCGATTGCTTATCCCATTGGAAAGGTAAATGAATCTAGATTGTTTTGCCAGGAATGTTATTGTTGTTTTGGAACACCGTCTCTACCTGTCTAAGGTTAATCCAGTAACGAATAGTTTAACAACTGTATATTCATTTAGTCCCTCTTGTTTATCCGCCTTTTCAATTCTGTTGTGATGTTAAAAAGATTCCATATTTTTGTGTTTCTCTTCTCACTTTATATTTTCTTTTTCGCGTAACCTTTTTTTAATGCTTTTGGTAAGTAAGGTCTTGGATTGGGTACTGGGACACAATGACGCTTTATTTAGGCGGGCACAGTTGAAAGCTCTTGTATCCATTCACAGCCAAGAGGTATTAGAAACTTTGAAGATGTTGACTACTTTGTTTACTTATTACTCACACAACTTCTAGAGTTTTGGTTTACTAATTTGGTAACCTTGTGGATATGACTATGATTTTTTAGGCTGGCAAGGGAGGTGAACTTACGCATGATGAGACAACAATCATCAGTGGAGCACTTGATTTGACCGAGAAGGTATGTGTGTGACAAAACTTAACTTTCTCGAATACCAGAATCTGTGTAGAAATAAGTGAAAATTATTTGGTTTGACAGACTGCACAAGAAGCCATGACACCAATTGAATCGACCTTCTCCTTGGATGTAAATTCAAAGTTGGATTGGTAAGTTTAGTTCTTACCTATTGTCTCAATGTTCTGTTCCTCTATTATTGATTCTGAGACTATTGCATGGCGGTTGTTTCTGCAACTATTTTTGACTATGTATCTTCTACTGCTTTGTGTGTAAATAATCTCATAGGGAAGCTATGGGTAAGATTCTGGCAAGAGGCCATAGCCGCGTTCCTGTCTACTCTGGGAATCCAAAAAACGTTATCGGACTTCTCTTGGTGATGTCATTGACTCTTATTTTGTATGTTTCAATGCTTGCTTATCACTTATTGGTAAACTCTAATAAAGAAATTCTTCTGTTTGATAGGTGAAGAGTCTCCTTACAGTTCGTCCTGAAACAGAGACCCTTGTCAGCGCAGTTTGTATACGCCGAATTCCAAGGTTTTGCCATAACTATACTGACCTCCAGTCTTTTCAATTTTGTTTCCGTGAGCATCTTTGTGTACAATGAAATTTCGTAATTGTGATGTTATAATGCTTCGATATGTAGGGTTCCGGCTGATATGCCTCTGTATGATATACTAAATGAGTTTCAAAAAGGAAGCAGTCACATGGCTGCAGTTGTGAAGGTCAAGGGGAAAAGCAAAGGTCCTCCGTCAACTTTGCTTGAAGAAAACACTTACGAAAGCAATGCCCTAAGTAAGGACTCGGATTTGACTGCACCTCTGTTACTGAAACGAGAAGGAAATCACGACACTGTCATTGTCCAAATTGACAAGGCTAATAGACAGTCGTTATTTCAAAACAATGATAATGTACAGCACGGGTTCTCGCATACTTCAGAAGATATTGTGGATGGTGAAGTAATCGGTATCATCACTTTGGAAGATGTGTTTGAAGAACTTTTGCAGGAGGAGATTGTGGATGAAACTGATGAATATGTAGACGTGCATAAAAGGTTTGGTTCATATTCTTATGGCTTAGTTACATATGTAACGATGTTTGAGTCACTTAAAAATCTCCTTTTGCAGGATTCGAGTAGCAGCAGCAGCGGCTGCCTCATCAGTAGCTCGAGCTCCTTCAAGCAGGAGGTTAATTGCTCAAAAGGGAACTGTGAGTTAACAGTCTCTTGCAAACAAAAATGCTTTCAACTTATACTGGAGAAAGTAAAAGCATCTCTAGATACAAGTTTTCTAACTTTCGATTTGCAGGGAGAACAAAATAAGCAAGCGCAAAAGATTAAAGGTTCTAAACAACCGATGGTATAATCTGATGTTATGCTGTTTCTTGAAGAGCCAAAATTCTGTTGCGGTTACAAGAGCGAGGAACAAAGACTAAAGTAAAGATCCAAGTCTTGAGCAGGTTCTGTTCCATTGGTAATTCAACAGAAGCAATGGTTCCTCCCAAATTTTTTGAAGGTGTTTTGTATCCAAGGACATATGTATTCTACAAATACGTACAATTTGTATTTTACTTCCCAATTTATTCATTTGTATTTGTAACAAAACGCACCTGTCGCAGTTTGAGCTATGGTCACAGACTTTTGTGGGCACTATTTTTTACTTCCTTTGTATCAAAATAAAAGAAGTTTTTGTACTTTGTACCAAAATAAAAGAGGTTTTGTTATGAATGAGAGAAAGAACAGAGAGAAAGAGGGATTGTAACTCAAAACAACCCAACTAATTCAAAACAATTCATAATACCCTTCTTAATTCTTAATACCCCTCCCTTATGTCTTTTCTCTTCTTTACCCCTCTTTACTAGTCAACAGCCC